AGATTTTTGTTTCTAAAAGATTAGTTTTTTCTTTTTTTGTATTAGAGTTGATTAAATGGGAATAAAAATATCTTAAATCTCTCTGCACCCTGCTCAGTGCCCGACACATGGCAGACACACAAAATATATTTCTTTAATAAATGACTAAACAATACAAGGAGAAAATATGCTTCCCATTAAAACTAAGATTCTTGAGGATAGGATACGTGTTTTTTTGATGTATTCAATATCCCTCCTCTTGCCTTCCAATAAAATATGTGAGACCTAGCAAGTGCATCCTGTGTACTTGCTAGATTATTTTGACTCTTACCCTCTTTCCATCTCCCAGTTGTGACAAACTCTCTTCAACCCATAAGGTCACAGAAGTAGCTCCCACTGTACCTCTTGGTTCCTATTCCTGCTGCTCTGGAATTTGAAAATTAATTTGTAAGAGGACATGCCAAAAAGAAGGTAACATAATCCTTCACCAAAAACAGCAGCACACATGCACAGGTACACACTCTTAAGACGCCTATGAAAAGCAGAAAAGGGAAAGCTGAGAATGTTTTAGTGAGTCTGTCCTATGCCTTTCGCCTGGTTTTGAACATCCCTATCTTCATTTGCTGTAATCATTCGAATTGCACATTTGCTTAAGTGTGTATGTGATGGTATACGACGGGTGGATGAAAATTGGCAGTCTGGGCATTTCCACTTCAATCGATATTTCCTTTCACTCAATTAGCATGTGTTCTATGGTTTTAAAGCCTACTTATTGGTTCTGCCATTTTGCTATAAAACTTAAGTGTTGCACTTTCAAGCTGCATCATAATCACTTTATTAGTGGTTGAAATAATTTGTAAAATGCTGAGGGAATGTTCTTGCCAAAAGTCCTGGTGTGAGACTGATGTAATGAAACATTCTAACTCTTCTAGACTTAAAGGCCATGTTGCCTTTTGTTTCACATAGTAAAATCTTTAACCAGAGACAATAATTAACTCAATGTTAATTCAGGGGTTTTTCTTCTTTTTTTTTGGTCTCTTATATCAATTTTGCTCTTTATGTTACTATGAATATCATTTGGTTTATCTTTTCTTTCCTGTCCTCCTTTCCCAGGGCTTCTTTTTTTTGTTTTATGAAATAGCACTGTATCTCAGGATGTGTGTTTTTTATTGAATAAAATGTAACCCACTATTTTCAAAGTGCCTCAACTAACTGGGTTTGTGGTTGTAGTACAAACATAATCTATAGGTGAGAAAAAGGAAATTATTTTAATTTTTGAAGTCCTACCAGAAAATCTTAATCATAGTTTTCACTTTGCTGAGATTACCTTGGGTTAGCAGAAAATCTTCCGGTTTATCTCCTGATGTTAATGTCTACTTGGTGATCAGATGCCTTAAGCTTTGTGTTCCATATCATTTCCTTGAACCTGGACCGGCTGTCCTGTAACTTGGGGTTTTGAATTAGTCAGTCATCCTCCTCCTGCCCTGTGGACCTGGTTATTCCTGTGGGCACCAGTGCTGCTGGGAGACGGATTCTCACCTTAACTGTATTACAAAGTCTTAGTGGTCTATTAAAGGGAAGGCCTATCTCTTATAAAAGTTTTTACAGTTTTCTTTCTCAAGGAAATTGGTGTTATCTCATCTCTAGATGGGGACAGAACAAGTGACACCACATATGTATGCCCCTAGTCCCATTTTTTTCTACCAAGAATCAACTTGTTTCTAAGAGAGAGGGTGAATGAATTCTCCCCTCTTACCTGAAGCATTCTCTGCAGAGTTGGGGCTGGCGTTTACCTGCTGGCATCCATTAGCTACTTTTACAGGCCCCTTTGGACTCCTCCTATTATTTATTCAAGAAGACCTACCACTCAACTTGAAAACTGAATCTCCAGAGGGCTTTTCTGGTGTGCCAGCGGTCAATGGACCACACAGAGATGACAGCTTAGCACTACTATGGGATTCTCACTAAAGTCTCATGGTCTTTTGGCTAAACTAAAAAGAATAAAACAGGTAAGTTTGACTATATCTGCAAGTCCAAAACAAAAATGATACTAATTATTTTTTATTATATTTTGTTTGACATTGAATTAATATTTGCATATTGGACCAGAAGCCCTTAAGAGAATCCCATAGAAACAATTACCCTAAGATTGTGTTAAAGATTCCAGTTCTCTTGCAGTTCAAGAGTTTGGTGAAAGCCAACCATATAAAAACTAAGCAATAAAAGAAGGACAATGCCTGTAACTAAAGTGAAATCATACATTTATAAAAATAGAATGAATTTACTAGATTTTCAGAACACTTTGTTCCCTGTTTTGAAAGGAGATAACAATACCAAAGCATATGCGATTCTGTCTGTAAGTCTGTATTTGATTTTTCTCCATGTATTCACATTCCCTCAGATTTTTTTTTCTGCTAGCCTCACAAAACACACCTTTTAATTGTAGATAGCATGACCAAACACAGGGGAGACCCCAGGAATTACTTTGGAAAACCCACTGATTAGACGCATTAAAACAAGACAATATAAGTAAGCAGAAGTATTTACAGTAAAACAGTTTTGTTCTAATTTATGGACTTCTTTACTTTCACTCTGTCTCTTTCCACAAAGTAATAATGCAGGACATAAACTAGAGGAAAAGAGAAAAAAGCAAACAAAGTATGAGGAATATATCTTGGTTTCATTTCTGTCAAAACAGCAATAAACTGGAAAAATATATTCAGCTAAGGTGCTATTTGGATTTTATTTATAAAGGCTACTATCTCTGGCCTAATGTTCATTAGCTTTGTCCTTGTTGCCTAGTTACAGATTTATAATTTTTGTCTCTCTTGTTACTGATGGCTCTAATGGAGAGAGCAGAGACGGAGGGCCTGATGAAAACACTTTAAATCTCTATCAGAGATGTCATTAACATTTTTTGTTATGTGTCTGGTACTGTTGATTACAATGATCTGGGGAAGGAATGGTCTTAAAAGAATCAATGAGAAGCAGCTCAAAGGTGGTCTTATATGGCTTGTGTTTGTTCTGTTAGTTAAGTACATTGTTAAAAAGTATTTATTTTATAAACAGGATCTGCTTATTAAAAAAGGTATTGGACCTGGATAGTAATTCTTCCCTAAATGTACCACAGATATTTGAGCTGTGATGGTTGTATTATTAAAGGTTTCCTTACGAGAGGAATGCCAAGAATCACCTGCAGACCAAATAAAAACAATTACAAATGTTATATTGGGGTGAGTGAAATATATGAAAACAAAATTGTGGCCCTATGGTTGGATACTGACAATAAAGATGGAGGAATGATCAGATCTTGAAAAGCCTAATTTTAGAGGTTTAGAGGCACACTGGTCTTGAGTGTTTTCAAGTTCTCAGTAGTATTCCTTGCTACATTAAAATTTCCATCTCTTGATGAACTTTATTTCTAATCCAGTCAAAAACATTAGATGACAAATGAGAGGCAACCTGTAGATCAGTGGTTCACAAAACGTAGGTCCTACACCAGCAGTATCAACATCATCAGAACTTGTTAGAAAGGCACATTCCTTGCCCTCATCCTGAATCTACTAGATCGAAAACTCTGGCAGGTAGAGCCCAGCAATCTATGTTTTAAGAAGCAATCCAGTTGATACTATTGCAGTCTAAGCTGGGAACCACTGCTCTAGGACAAGTTTTCCCAACCCAAGAACTATGGCCACTTTGGATTGGATAATTATTGTAAGGGGCTGTTGTCTACACTGGCACACTAGGAGGTTTAGAAAGATCCCTGGACTCTACCTACTAGATACCAGTAACACTCATCCCAGTTGTGACAGCTGAAAATGTCTCCAGACATTGCAAAATGATTCCTGAGGGGAAATATCCCTGGGTGAAGAACGACTGCTCTTGATCAATAGCAATCAATTTTATTTGGAACTTAGTAAAATGAAGACTTCCGGCAAAACTCTGCAGTCTGATTTAGTAGGTACATGGGAAGAGCCTGTAATCTGTATCTTCAATAAGGATCCCCAGGTTAGTAGCCTATGAGCCATATTTTGAGAAACACAGCCTCTGAAGTAATGGTTCTCAAACTTTCCTGTGCTTTAAAAAAATCTCTATGTGTGGCTGATTTCAATAGGCAACCATGTTTGAGCACCTGCTCTAACACAGTCGTTTTCTACCCTGGGCAAACATTAAAATTCCCTGGGGAACGTGTAGACCTCTTCATGCCCATGCCCTGCCTTCAAACAATTACATCAAAATCTCTGGGTATAGGACTGTGGCATTAGAAAAGTGACTTGAATTTTGCTGCACATTGGAATCATCTGAGGATCTTTAAAAAGTACCGAGGGCTGGAGACTTGATAATAACAGAGAATTTGGTATTATTTAGAAAACAGTGTCCAATATATACCAAAGAATCAGGACTGTTCAAGTTGCACCCCATACAATTACATACAATTGGGGATGATTACTGGGCATCAGTATTTTCTAAAAGTTCCCAAGTGATTCCAACGTGCAGCAAAGTTTGGGAAATCCTATTACAGGATTTTGGCCCTAACAGCTGTTTAGCATTTGTCAACAGTTTCTTATAGATCACAAATTTTTGAGAGCAAGAACCAGGCCTGCAACTTCTTTATGTATTCTGTAATTTTTAACAGTGTCTTATGCCTTTTCAACAGATACTTTTTAATGGATTGATTAACTCAGGCAGTTGAGACAATTTAATACTCCACAATTATATATTTGCCTGTATTTAACTGAGGATATTTATAAAGGATTGAGGCTAATACATTTTTTCAAGAGCAAGAAATAAAAAGTAGATTTATTTATCTCCTCAGTTTTACACTTTAATAAACACTGTGTATTTATATATATGTATGTGCATATACATTTATATATACATACATATATATACACACACAAGCATGCAACATACTGTGCTATAGATTATAGGAGTTATAACAGAAATAATAGAATTCTTTGTTTTAAACAGGTTTAGAATTGAAATAAAAGATGGAAGTCATCTTTTTTCAATGAGCTCTTCATATAATTCCATTATGTTCTCACAATAAATTAATACAAAGTATCAAGCTTTGTAAATTTTTTTTTTTTTTAAATATCTTTGCCAGAGCATTACACTTTTGAGATCTTCTCTTTTCTCTTAGCCATTACTCAACAAAGACTGAAAGCTAACCTTTCTATTAGGCAAGGAGGAAATAACATGGAGCAAGAATTTGCAGGAATGTAGCTATTGAAGTGGAGCTCACTCTTCTGGCAAGTTCTCTAGCCTGAGTCTTCTATCTTTTGGTCACTCTGGGATTTGCTGTTTGTTGTTTCCTGTCTTGTTTCCGTGGGCTGGGTGTAACACTAGCAGTTCAGAGACAGTTTTCACCATTCTAGGGCCTCTGTTTGATCTTTTCTATGAAGTTCCCCACCTGTGAAATAAATAGTGTGAGTTCAGGAGTCTTTAGTTGTTGTTTTAAATAAATAAAATCTTATTTTTAATAAAATTTCACTAAAAGTTTTAATGTATGAAACATTCCAAAGCAGAGCTGCTCTGACTGAGCAGAGTAGGGTCTCTAGAGAGTTCCTTACACAGCTTCCTCTGCCCCTGAGGTGCCTTCCAGAACGCCTGGTCTCAGGAGAACACAATCTGAAAAGCATCAAACTAGATTTTTCTCTAACTACTTTCAGCTCTAGCATTTTTGGCTAATTTTTGTTGCTTCGTGTGAGTGATTGTAGACCTATAAAGGAATAAGAAATAGAGGATTTATGTAGATCCAGTTGAGGGACAATGTGGAGGGCGTAAATATTGAGAAACTTCCATCACACAAAGAAATTGCAACGCAGATCTCATGGAGAGACGGGAATTTTTCTATATCTGCCAGAAACATAACAGAATCTCTTCTGTGCACCAAAAGAAATTATGCCCTTTCAAATATTAAATGTCATCTATTGAAATGCCAGGCACTATTAAATGTGGAGAGAGAAAATTGGAAAAGATTCTCTCCTTTTTCGAAAGTCACTTATACACATATCTTACATTAAAGGAAAACCCTAAACCTCTCTGCAAGAGTTATTCCCTCTGCAGCTGTTGTAGAGCTATGACAGGTCAGAATGGTGTGGATTGAAGAGTGGGATGTTAGTGCAGTGAGATTTGTTTGTGCTTTGGACTACATGCTTTGTGGCTTTATGGAAGGATGTTCCATTTCTCTGAACAGTGTCCAGCAAGCTGCAGCACAAGGCATCTTAACAAACTCTATTTGGTGGGGAATAAACAGCATGCTGAGACTTCCATGAGGGCCCAATGCAAAACATTCTGTGATGAGGTTCCCAATCACAGTGTCTCAGAACATACATATAAACAAGCCGACGAAGTTCTGAACGTACCTTGTGGAATGAGCTAACTGCCTCCAGTGGAAGAGACAGCAGAGCTGAGGCTAGGCTCCCATTGTTTACTGCTGATAGTAAAAATTAATAATGGATACCCTGAGCATATATTATTTATCAGCCCTGATCTTGGACACACAAATCTACTGAGGTCACCAAAGCCATCTTTTATTTTAAATTCAGGGCCCAGCAACTAGAAAACAAAAAGGAACAAAGTAAGTTAACTGGATGTTAGATAGAAAAGATATAAGTAGAAAAGCCTCTTTTCTGGGATAGAATTTTTCTCAGCCAGAAGTGTTAATATTTTGTTCCAAGGGGCAGGAGAGGGGGATAACAATTGCTCTCTGGTTTTGAAGGTGACCATTTTAGATCGATAAGTGACTAAACGCTAGGCGTGTGATGTCATCAGAAGATGATATAAATTTCTAAATGGATTGTTACCTAACTTTTAAGGCTTCTTTACATGAAATATCCGTAAGTAATTTTACTTCAAAGACAGGAAAAAGGCTCCCCAGCCACTCACAATGCCTGGTTCATTTGTTCCCTGATGTGGGAGATCTTTTAGCATGAAGCAGCAGGGTTCAAATTAAGTCCTTTCCACACTCGCTTTTCCTTCTTTACAAACCTAAGGTAACAATTGCTCTCTCCCCGGAGGGCCTTTGCATTTCATGTATACCCATTTACCCATGACTAGACTGAAGCCAGTTTGAGGACAGGCCCATACCTCTTATTTCTCTGTGTATCCAAAAAACATTAAATCATACAGTTTTCCATGTAGGAAACTCACATTGGATAAATGAAAAAATTAATGAAAAGATAAAAATATGAACAAAAGTATGTGTCAAATATGAGTCAATATAAAATTTTCTTATAAAAACAAACATGAATCTCTACTGGAATTTATGACATTTCTATATATCATAAAATCTCAGAATTTTAAAGGCTTCTGGGAGAAACAACTCATTATGAATATAAATATTTTTTTAGGCTACTGGGTGTGACTTGGGTGATACCATGGTTTAGGCTTTTGTATATAGTTCACTTATGTACACTGCTTATGTGCCCAACAAGATAACTTTGTGAATGTTGGGAACCTGTGAACATTTGTAGAGCTTATATTTTCTTGATTGTCGTGGAAGATAATTGAGGCATAGAAATTTTGCGTCTTGCCCAAGGTCATCTAGATAGTAGATGTAACCAGAATTAGAACTAAGGTCTACTCATCTCCAAAGATCTTTTTATCATAAGAGGAAGCCAGCTCATCTACCTATCATGGTTGGTAAACTGATAGTTAATGCTCATGTCGTGAAAAAGGGAACTGATCAGAGGAAATACCAATGAGTTGAATAATCACTCAAAATAGTAAAGGCTAAAAATAATTCAGCCATTTTTTGTTTGTTTGCTATATCTTATACTTTCTTGGCATCATTTAATGAGAATCCAATGGTTTTCAAAATGGTAAAAATCAATGACTGGAGAAAATATCAACAAATATAACTCCCTTTCCCACATCACATACCCACTGATAATTAATATTGGACATTAGTTCCCAAGCACAATATTCAATATGTTTAGATTATAGTGTCTTAAAATTATATATCTCCCTCTCCTGGATATTCCACTACATAAATTACACAAACTTTGGAAGTTTTCTCTCCTATCACTTTCACTGTAAGTCAGACTATAATTACTATTCTAATTGTTTCTTATCCACCCCTTAGATGAAGCTTCACCTGGGTAGTGATAACTATTTTAAGCTACAGTGGAATTATCTGCCTCACTTCCACATTGACATCTTTACTTAGCTCTTTGTTTATTGATGGAAATAATGATGCCTTTCTTTCAAGAAATGAAGAAAAGTGTTCTCAAGGGGGTTGTTTGAAATAAGTGCTTTTTCTTAGTTGCAACAAAAAAACACATTTTGAAAAGAATTGGGCCAAGTAAATTGTATCTCTCATTCATACCATGTGATATTCAGCCATATTTGTAATGGGATATAGGTAACCCTCAGAGTTCTGGGAATAGAAACAAAGATAGAGAAAGGATAGCATGTTCAGAGATAAAGATTGGGCTATATAGTTTTTCCTCTCAACTAAGGCAAATGCGCTGTTTATTTGGTCTTAGTTAAGGGAGAGTCAGCCGACTCTAAACATCCACAGCCACTCTCTAGTTGATCCAATTTCTTAAACAATTTATTCAGGGACAATTCTGAATAGAGATTTATGGGTTGTATTGTTGTTATTGTTTGCTTGTTTGTTTTGTTTAAAGTCCTTTCCCAGATCAAATATAAATTCCCCAGCTACAGATTTATAAATTTTTCAGTTTTTCTCCTGCTAGTGATTTCTAGTTTCGTAACATTGTGGTTAGAAAAGATACTTGACATGATTTAAATCTTCTTCAATTAGCTAAGACTTGTTTTGTGGCCTAATATATGATATATCCTGGAGAATTTTCTGTGTGCCCTTAAGGAAAATGTTTACTCTGCTGCCATTGGATAGAATGCTGTATATACGGTTATTAGGTCCTTTTGATCTAAAGTATAGTCCAAGTCCAATGTTTCCTTATTTATTTTTTTGCTGGATGATTTATCCATTGCTGCCTGTGGAGCACTGAAGTTCTCTATTATTATTGTATTGTTTTCTATTTCTCCCTTTAGATTTGTTAGTTTTTCCTTAATATATTTGTGTGCTCTGATGTTGGGTGTATATATATTTACAATTGTTATATTCTCTTGATGATTTGACCCCTTTATCAGTATATAATGACCGCCTTTGTCTCTTGTTACAATTTTTATCTTAAAATCTTTTTGTCTGATATAAGTATATTCACTTCTGCTTTCTTTGGGTTTCCCTTTGCATGGAATATCTTTTTCTATCCCTTGGCTTTCATTCTATGTATGTCCTTAAAGCTGAAGTAAGTTTCTTGTAAGAAACATATGGTTGCATCTTGATTTCTTTCCATTCAGCCACTCTATGCCTTTTGATTGGAGAATTTAATACATTTATATTTAAAGTAATCACTGATGGGTAAGGCCATTGTAATGTCATCTTATTGTTTTTTGGCTGTTTTCTATTTTCCTTGTTCTTTTCTTCCTCTTTTTGCCTACTTTTGTGAATTGATGATTTTCCATAGTGGTATGCTTTGATTCCATTCTTTTTAATTTTTGGGTAGCTACTACAGGTTATTGCTTTGTGGTTGCAATGAGGCTTACATAAAACATCTTAAAGACACAGCAGTCCATTTTATTCTGACAACAACTTAACCTCAATTACATAGAAAAATCTTACCCTTTAATTCTCTCTGCCTATGTTTTGTTTTTGATGTCAGAATTTACACCTTCTAATGTTTTGTATCCATTAACAATTATTGTAGCTACAGTTATTTTTAACACTTTTGTCCTTTAACCTTTATACTAGAGTTATATGATTAACACACCACCACATTACAATATTAAAGTATTACACGGGTTTCACTATATACTTTCCTTTTTTAATGTTGCATATTTTCATGTTTTTCTGCTACTAATTAGCATCTGTTCATTTCAGTTTGAAAAACTGCTGTCAGAATTTCTCATAGTGGTAATGATTTCCCTCAGCTTCTGTTTGACTGGGCAAATCTTTCTCTCTTCTTTTCTAAAGGACAATTTTGCTGGGTAAAGTACTCTTAGTTGGCAGTCTTCTTCTTTCAGCACATTGAAGGTATCATTTCACGCTTTCTTGGCCTGCAAGGTTTCTGCTGAGAAATCTGCTTATAGCCTTCTAAGAGTTCCCTTGAATGTGAAGAAATTTTTTTTCTCTTCAAACTTTAAAAATTTTCTTTGTCTTTAATTTCAGAGAGCTTTTACTAATGTGTCTGGAGAAGATGTTTTTGAGTTAAACATTTTTGGTGGTTTATGAGCTTCATGAACTTCTATGTTCACATCTCTCCCCAGATTTGGGAAGTTCTCAGTCATTACTTCTTTAAATAAGCTTTCTGCTCCTTTATCCCTCTATTCTCTTTCTAGGACTCCAATAATGGATAAATTGTTTCTCTTAACGGTATCCCATAGTTCACATAGGCTTTCATCACTCTTTTTTATTCTTTTTTCTTTGTTCTCCTCTAATTGGATAATTTCAAGTGACCTGTATTCTACTTACAGATTCTTTTTTCTCTTTGATTAAGTATGTTGTTGATGCTCTGTATTATATTTTTCATTTCACTTATTGTATTCTTCAGCTTTATAATTTTTGTTAGGTTCTTTTTATGATTTTTATCTCTCTGTTAAACTTTTTTTTATTCCAGTATTGTTTTTCTGATTTTATTGAATTATCTTCCTGTGTTTTCTTGTAGCTTACCAAGCTCCCTAAAAACAACTACTTTGAGTTCTTTATCAGGAAAATTGCATACCTCCATTTCTTTGGGATTGTTTATTGGAAAACTATTGTGTTACTTCAGTGTGTCATGTTCTTTGATTTTTTGTGTTGATTAAAGTCTTGCATTGTTATCATCACCTTTGAAGAAACTGTCATCAACTCCAATCTTTACTGACTGACTTTGGAGAGAAATACCTTACATCACCCTGTTATTGATTTCAAGGATTTCTAAGAACTTTTCTATGGATATGCCTGTTGCACATTTCTTGTCCCTTCTTTGGGGTAAGGGAGATTCTTAAGCTTTATGCCTTTTCTTTGACCTTACAAAGTTACGCTGGGTGATGACAGACTCCCATTTGCTTTCCCTAGGGATGGTGCTGAATGCTTAAGTTTGTGTGGTTTCTCCCAAAATTGAAGAGTCAGTCTGACTTTCTATGTGTGTTCACCAGTTATTGACAAAGTCTCACTTTCACTGCCCTCAAAATCAAGCAAAGGATGATGCTCATGGAGATGAGGTCCATGTTAGCGAGACACATAGAGTGTTGGGGGTGCCCACAGGCTACTTGGGGGATATACCGGTGATGTATCTCCAGCAGCCCAAGGACATGGAGTCTGCAAAGTGCTTAGTAGGATCTGCATCCCTTTGATGCCTTCTGAGAGCCCTGACTGCTGTTCTCCCAGCCATTCCCTTCCCCCAATTCTTGCAGCACACCTCAGTATTCTGGATGGGGCAAGAAAAACATTGGTCTCTGGCAGTGTCTGCAAAGGTGGGGAAGCCTGGCACTCACTCACATGCTTTCACTCTCCCCCGTGGGAGAAATCACAGGCTAATAAGGTCACTTGGCACTGAACTGTGCCACCTCGAAAAAGGGCTGATGTGGGTAAAGTAAACTCTACCTCTTACCTTCTTCAATGCTTCTAATTTCAGATTTTTTTTTTCTGCTTTCTTTCCAGCCCCTTGCCCCGGTACATAGTTGTATATCTTAGTTGCAGGTCCTTCTAGTTGTGGGATGTGGGACGCCGCCTCAACGTGGCCTGACAAGCGGTGCCATGTCCGTGCCCAGGATCCGAACCCTGGGCCGCTGCAGCGGAGCGTGCCAACTTAACCACTCAGCCATGGAGCCGGCCCCCAGACTTCTCTTTGTTCCAATGGTGTACTGGAACTTCTCCACTGGATTCCTGGACTTCCAAAGGCACTGTTGTCCATGGGTGATTGTCAACATCAGTGTTCTTTGTAGAGGAAATGGTAGAGAACTACTTTGCCATTTTGAGGACATCACTCTGCCACATTTTCTTTATCTATTCATCTGTTGATGGGCACTTAGGTTGTTTCTACATCTTAGATATTGTGAATAATGCTGCAATGAACATGTGGATACAGATATCTCTTCAAGAGAGTGATTTCATCTCCTTTGGATATATATTTCAATAAAGCTGATTCCTTCTTTGAGATATATACACATATATACCAATAAAGCAGAATATACATATGTAAATATATAGTATATATACATCTATATTTGAGCTGTATTGATGTATAATTGACAAGCAAAATTATAATATTTTAAAAGTGTAAGTGATGATTTTATATATATATATACACACACACACCCCTATATATATATATATATACACATACACACAAATTGTGAAAGGATTCCCACAATCAAGTTAATTAAGACACCCATCACCTCACATATTTACTTTTTTTGTTGAAAATGCTTCAGATCCACTATCTTAGTAAATTTCAGTTATACAATACAGTATTATCAACTATAGTCACCATGCTATATATTAGATCCTCAGAGCTTATTCATCTTATAACTGAAAGTTTGTACCATTTTACCAATCTCTCCCAATTTCCCCCACCTGTCATCCCCTGACAGCCATCATTCTACTTTCTGTTTACATGAGACCACCTTCTTCTTTTTTAGTTTCCACATTGAAGTAATATGATATAGTATTTGTCTTTCTCTGTCTCACTTATTTCACCTAGCATAATGTCAGAAACTTCATGCATGTTGTTGCAGATGGCAAGATTTGCTTCTTTTATAAGGCTGAATTACATTCCATTGTCTATATCACATTTTCTTTATTCATTCATCCATTGATGACTTTTAGGTTGTTTGCATATCTTGGCTATTGTGAATAATGCTGCAGTGAACATAGGGGTGCATGTATCTTTTCAAATTAGTGTTTTCATGTCTTTTGGATAAATATGCAGAAGTGAAATAGCTGGAATATATGATATTTCTACGTTCAATTTTTTGAGAACTCTCCATACTGTTTTCCATAGTGGCTGCACCAGTTTGCATTCCCACCAGCAGTGTATATGGATTCCCTTTGCTCCACATCCTCACCAACATCTCTTTTCTTTTTAATAGCCTTTCTAGGGACCAGCCCAGAGGCACAGCTGTTAAGTTTGCATGTTCCACTTTGGTGGCCAGGGGCTCACCAGTTTGGATCCCGGGTGCGGCCCTATGCACCGCTTGTCAAGCCATGCTGTGGTAGGCGTCACACACATAAAGTGGAAGAAGATGGGCATAGATGTTAGCTCAGGACCAATCTTCCTCAGCAAAAAGAGGATGATTGGCAGCAGATGTTAGCTCAGGGTGAATCTTCCTCAAAAAAACAAAAATAGCCCTTCTAACAGGTGTGAGGTGATACCTCATTGTGATTTTGATTTGTATTTCCCTGATGATTAGTGATGCTGAGCACCTTTTCGTGTACCTGACATGAAATGTCTATTTCATAGACATGTCTAGGTCTTCTCCGAAAAAATGTCTATTCAGATCCTCTGTCCATTTTTTAATGGAATTATTTGGGGTTTTTTGCTATTGAGTTGTATGAGTTCTTTATGTACTTTAGATATTAACTCTTCATTAGATATATGGTTTGCAAATACTTTCTCCCATTTCATAGACTGCCTTTTTATTTTTGTTGATTGTTTCTTTTCTGTACAGAAACTGAAAAAGCCTTTTTTTCTTTTTCCTGAGGAAGATTCACCCTGAGCTAACATCTGTGCCAATCTCCCCTTTTTTAGTATGTAGGCAGTCATGCTTTGCTGGTAGCCAGCACAACATAGCCACTAACACAGCAGTGCAGTTCCCCACCCGGGAACCAAACCTGGGCCACTGGAGCAGAGCATGCAGAAGTTAACCACTAGGCAACCAGGGCTGGCCCCAGAAGCCTTTTTTCTTATTCCATGTTCTATCCTTAGACCCAGGACAGTGTGTAGAATTAAGTAAATGCTCAGAAAAACTTACTTTTAATAAATGAATATCTAGCAGAGATCGTTATCAAAGGAAGAAGTCACTGTGAGCTGGGATGCTTGAGAAAAAGATTCAAATAGAACTTCGTTTTCAAAATGATAATGTGTCTCTCACAAATGTGTGTCACTTTACTTAGAAAGGACAAGTAAAGGCATCTAAATTTGGGGAAAGACTAAGCAAATATTCTTGGATGCTTGGATGATGAGACACAATGTGGGAGATGGTGAAAACCTGGATTGCTCATATTTGTGGTAGGACAATTTAATAGAGTGACATTTTTAAGAGCAATCAATTTCTTACTTTCTGTTCATCAGGCACAGTTACTCATTCCACAAACATTTAACAAATGCCTAATTTACATTGGGAAATGCTCTAGACACTAAGGAAATATAGTAGGGAAAAACAGCCCAACTTTCTGTCCCTGAGACAAAAAATATGGAAACAAATACAATAATTAGTGTATACTAAATGATGGGAAGGAAATAAACAGGACACGTGATAGGCACTGAGGTTAAAAGGTTGAAGACATACCTTACTCAAAGAGAGTGGTTCATGATTTATTGATTTAAGTGGAGAAGCAAAACAAGCAGAAGTTAAAAAAGCAAAAGGTAATCAACTAAGCGCTATAACAGAAGTCTACATAAAGTGCAGTCTACATTAGGGGGCACTGCAGTCAAGAGCCTAAGTCTGAGGTCAGAGAACTACCTGTGAGATCTGGGCAAGATTCTTCAACTCTCTAAATCTCAGGTTCTTCATTTATGAAATAGGTGTAATTGCAGTTGAATTTTTAGGAGGATCAAATACACCATGCAAAGCCCTTTCTTTCTGGTATACAGCACATTCTCAAAAACAATTATCTCATCATTATTTGCATTTATTTAGTTTGTTATTATAGCCCAATTACTGTTTTCTGTATCAATTAACTTTTACAGTTCCCCGTTGATTTACACCTTCTTACCACAATACGGAGCTCAAGCCGCAAGAGATTACGTACTTTGTGCAAGGTCACATGGCTGGGAGTAGGTGGCAGTTCAGGTCCTTGTGCTCTTAACCACTATGCTGTTCAGGCTTTCTGGGCTCAGGAGTGGAGGTAAAGTGTGGGCTTCACATTGGATGATGACCAGGATTTCACTAGGCAAAGACAGGAAGAGGATTACTGATTCACTGTTGGAAAAGACACAGAAACTTGAAAATATTCAGCGTATTAGGAAAATAGAGACACTTCTTTATGGCTAGAGTGTGTTTGTGCTGGAAAGGTGAGGGAATGTTGGAGAGGAAAATGAAAAAGTTAGGATAGGGCAGTGGTTCTCCACATTTTTAACATGCTTAAATTAATGAAGCTTCCCAAAGAGCTTTTGTTCATGTTATTTATCGGTATTAACTGTTAGAAATTGAAACCTAGAAATGTTTAAAAAGTTCATTTATTCATTGAAGAGTAAGAATAATGGACCCATTCCATGTTAATATGAAAAGTATATATTTTACAAATCTCTTTACTGTGTGGTGCATTAGTTTCCTATGCAGCCTAACAGATTACCACAAGTTTAAAGGATTAAAACATCAATCGCTTGTCATCTCAATTGCTGTAGCTGAGGAGTCCAGGCTTCACTGAACTGGATCCTCTGCTTAGGGTCTCACAGCACTGCAGTCAAGGTGGTGTTGGGCTACGTTTCTAACTGAAGGCTCAACTGGGGATGATCACGTGGATTGCTGGCATAATTTACTTCCTTGCAGCTGTAGGATTGAAGTCCCTGTTTTCCTCTAGGCTGTTGCTAGGGGGCACTTTTAGCTCCTAGAGTTCAATAGCAATTCCTTGCCATATGGTTTTCTTACAACGTGGCAGCTTCCTTCTTCAAAGCCAGCAAGGGAGCCTCTCTCTCTAGTATGCCAAGATGAAGTCTTACATAATGAAATACAATCATGGGAGTGATAGCCCATCACTATTGCCATATTCTGTTGGCTGGAAGAAAGCTACAGATTCCAAAAGGGAGGGGATTTTACAAGGGCATTGGATACACATCAGGGTGTGTCTTATACATGCAGCTTAATAAAAAGCAGCTACATTTTTAGATCTGCTTTTATATTCAACTTGTAACTGAATATTTTAACAATCTTTCAGAGAATTATAGACCTTCTTTAACGCTACATCAAAACTCAACAAATGGTAGTTTCTTAGAGATTAGTTGCAAAATAAAAAGTGAAAGAATATTAATGAGCTTTTCATACAGTTATATTAAAATTCATTGGTTTGCCTACATGCATTATTTTGACCTCAAAGATCCTCCAAAAGGTCTCAGTGGTCCATGAGTCCCCAGAACCACTGGGTAAGAGGCCTGCATATAAGTGTAGCAATTTAGGGAAGCCTTCTGTCTCTTTTTGTTTATAGACAGAACAATATAGAGATTAAGAGGATGGACTCTGGAGTCAGACTTCTTATGGATGAATCCCTGTGCCATCAGTTATGAACCATGTGAGTTTCAGCGAATTAGGTAAACGCTATGAGTTTCATTTTCCTAATCCGTGAATTTGTAACACTATTAGAACTTATTTGAGGGGATTGTTGTGAGAATTAAAATGTATGTATAGTGCTAAGCCCAGTGAGTGATTGTTAGGCAATTATACCACCATGCCGCAGTAGGTATTTGACTGTATGGAGGTAGAGGAACTGACCTACTTCATGGAAGTACTCACATGACTCATCTGGCATGTGAGTTACAAATTCAATCCAGCACATGATCTTCCTTATGAGCCCCAGAGATAACGTTTCCCGCAAAATCTTGGTCCCTTCTGATAGCTGGGTTTCATTACTTGCTTTCCCTCCTCTGTGGAGGCCTCTATTTAGTTACCACTATTAGTTACCTCATTTTCATGCTCATCTTTTGACCTTCTGGATCAGCTCAGTTGTGTGAAAAGATACTACAGAGGTGGGCATTTCAGCATCTACAACCTTGTCTATATCTGGAAATGTGTGGCTTTTCCCACATGATTGTCTTGTTTTCACATCATCCTGAAATTTTCTATATTCATCAAGCAAGCTGTTTTCCAAAGCTCATGTTGTTGAATGATCTCTTGGGCTTGGATTAATATATAAAAGGACTCTATCCTCAGAAGATTTACCAGTCTTGGAGGTTCTAAATTACTTTCTTTAGTACTACATTTAAGCAAACCATGAGACAAATGAATTTAAAAACATAGAGAGAAATGTTGAATCCTTTTAATAGTCATGTAATCTGGATGCTTCTAAGAAGGGCAATTGAATTGTACTTGGATCAAGAATGTCCTCATCCAAGGCTATGATGCCAAATTGGCTCTTACAGTGGTCTAGGTAAAGCCTTAAAAAGAGGCTCATGATGGTCCCATGACTGATATGGCATAGTTCAAGATGTTGGCATCAGTGCCAACTTTGTCCAAAGAAAAGGACCACTTTGTGAATCCAAGGGACACAGCACATTAGGTTTCAATTTTGACTTATCACCCTACCACAATAAAGACACTATCCTTGTGGTGGATGGAAGCCTTAAGATTAGCACATTTCTTTTGCATCAATCCCTACCTTGCTCTAGACACCACTATGTTCTACAACATGGTTTCTCAGCTCTAGCTCTATTGATATTTTAGACCAGACGATCTTTTTGGGGGCGTGGCGTGTGGGGATGGTGGTGTGGGTGTGGGTGTTTTGTGCATTTCAGGATATTTAGCAGCATTCCTAACCTCTACTCAGAGGATGCCAATAACACATCTCCCTCCCCAAAGTTGTGGCAACCAAAAATGTCTCCAGACAATGTTAAACTGCCAAATGTCCCCTGGGGGGAAGCATCACCCCATCTGAGTTCCACTGTTGTATATCAATAGCATTCTCTTCCCCCAAGGGCATGACTCTGTAACTGTAAGTTTGTATCACAGTTTTAGGTGGGGCTCTTCAAGGTTCATTGCAAATAATCAACATATTTACTGCCTCAGGTCCAAAAATAAATGACCAAAAACGCATGTCATTCAGAAATTAGGTTTAAAATCCTTCAAGTTTTAGATATTTACACAAACTTTTATCCCAACCAGTAGCAACATGATTTGTCTACCTACTTCCCTACAGTTTATTGCCTAAAACAACTCACTATTCCCCTTTTCCTTGTTTCAGAACAACTATGGTTTTTAACTTTGATATTTTCTTACAATTCCCAGTACTAGTAATAACCTCCAAGCAGGCTAGTACCTGGAGGAAGTATAGCTAACTAAGAGATACCTCAAAATATCTTTCATCGTACCATAGTACATGGAATATGTCTACCAGACTACAAGAATGAGCAGCTGAATGAAAGCAGTGTTCTGGTTCAAATGGAGACATATCACTACCCATCTACGCTTAAGTGTGGAGGACCTGTTCTTGGGACCCTTATTGTGACACTGATTATCAACCCTATGGCTTCCTGACCTTAATTTCCCCCATCCATAAGCACTATTACTATCTTCCACTGCCTTCTGTTATAGCACTGTAAAGTCAAACTCTTCAACACCTCCTCTACTGGAGGTTGTATCAGAGGGCAGAAAAAGATAGTATGTTAGAGAAAGTGATAGTCTCCTGGTGGAACTACTTCCTTTCCAGGTGTAAGATGAAGGTGGTAAAATGAAGGAAAATTGCAAAAACCACTTTTTACATCAGAAATGTGCCAGACTACCTAGACCCACTTGGCTTTAGGGAGGAGCGATCGGAGGGATTATAGCTGCGCAGTCAGCCTGTTGATTTGTTCCCAGAAGGAACACATAGAGGGTGAGGCCGTTATAGAAGAAACTGTAACAATCTCAGAGCCATGTCTCCGATAATTTTTCTGGGTTCACATTCTTTTTAGTTCTTGTGTGTTTGTTTATTCATCTCCTCTCCCTGCTTTCTTAAAAATATTTTTTCAAGTATTTTAAACATACTGGAGAGAACAGGGAATAATAAGACACTCCAACACAGATAAATCTCAAAAAACATAACAGTGAGTGAGTAGAGGAAGTTGGGGAATAATATATTGAGCATGATATATAAAGCTCGAAAACCTGCAAGACAACATGAAGTAATATTTCTCAATATTGAATGTTAACATTTTGACATACTAAATCAATATTTAAAACAAGAATTAAAAGGTTACCGCACAGCTGAAACCCTCATGCTTCCTCCCTCTCCCCTGAGAAAATAATTCTATCATGATTTTGGAGTTTATATTTCTATCACGTTTTTATGATATTTTTGCATATGTATATATTCATATAAAATATATAGCACAGTTCTCTATGTTTGCATCTTACAAGATATATCATGCATGTCATTGCGTTTTTTTGAGATTTTTTTTTCCATGTTGATACATGTAACCCTAATGTGTTCATTTTACTGAATATCCTTAGGTAACTGTATTAAAATGTCTCTGCTTATTTTTGTCCTATTAATAGACATCAAGATGTTTTTTCCTCTAATATTTTGAAATTAGAGACACTGCTGCAATTGGAATTCCCATTCATACCTCTTGGGCACACCTATAAGAGCTTTAAATATTAGACACACAATGGACTTAGCAACTCTGTAGGATAATATATGTCAGGTTTTAGTATCCAAACTCAGTACTTGAGGACCTGTATTCCTATACTCAGATCAAGACCAAGGATACTGCTGCAGGGGTTTTCAATACCCCAGCCACATTTTCACATCTGGTAGGGGACGTCTGGTACTCCTCTTCTCACTGCCTAAATAATATTCATTTCCATGACTTCAAGTACCATCTATATGCTGACATCATCCAATTTGATAGTTCAGATTTAAGATCCTGGGCTTTAAATAGCTGCTTTATTCATTCATTCATCCAAAGAGGAAATATTTATTACACCTCTACCAGAAACATCAAAATCAACATGTCTAAACTGGGTTAATCACTTGCCTCTGCCAAACTTATTTTCCAAGTTTATTACTAAACCTGTCTTTAATTTTTTTCTTTGTCCTCAATTCTGATCTATTTTCTCCAATCTTTTCTTCCCACTGGAGTGGGAGTAGTCTTTTTAATTTGAAAATTTGATGATGTATCTCCCCTATTAAATAACCTACAATAGCTCCCCATTGCTTTCAGGACCCCAAGGTTAATGTAACAGACATGATTTTTCTC